CCAGAAGCTGCCCCCAATTTTTTCATTGAAAAAAAATTAATGGCCCGTTTTTAAGATAATGGCTTTTAAGCGTTACTGTAAAAGTAAAATTTGAAACTCTTTTTCACAGAAATTTTTTGTTTTCGAAAAACTTCATTGAAAGTCATTTAAAACACCTTAACTCACTAATGTAATTGTGTTTTCAATTTGCTGGAATATGCTTATTAACGGCGTAAGAGATTTAAAAAAATTACATTTGTGTAATTTTTGAACAAACAAAAGAATATCCCAAAATTAACTTTATGTTATGACATACACCAAAAGCCCTTTACACCATCAAACTTTGTGCCAGTTTTGACAGAAAACGTTTGAGTTTTCGAGAAACTAACAGACATTATTTAAGGCACGTGTACTCATAAATACAATAATGTGAACAAATCACCATATATGTAAATATTAACTATGTGAGATAAACATGAGAAAAAATTACATTTATGTAATTTTTGAAAAACAACAACAAAAGAATAGAGCAACATGTCGTTTATTTCAGCTTACAGAATGCATTTAGCACATTTCCTATCAAACGTTTAAAGAAAAAAATTGGAGTCGTTATTGAAAAAATCTTGTTTTTGTGGTTTTTGAAAATTGCACATTGTGCGCGAAATTTTCAAAAAATGTACGTGACCTTAACAAAAGAACTAATTATGGATAACAAATTTCATTTGAAAGAAAAATCTTTATCTTTAATTTTGTAGTTGTAGGAAGAACTTGGAAAAAATTCACTTTTGAAATTTTCGAAAATTTCGAGTTAACCCCGAAAAATCGGAACATTGCCACCTTTATAAGTGTATTTTACTATATTCGTAGAAGAAATTAAAAGACAAATTTGGAGCTTTTTTTGAGGAAATTTTGAAAATGTCCCAAGGACTTCATGTAAAGTACGAGTTCGTACCGCCAAAAACTAGTGAATGATTTTCAAACTAGCAGAGTTTCGATTCACAACAAATGGCCATGGGTTTCTTCATTTGGAAAAAGTCTTGCGCATGGTTTATGCGCCAATGTTGTTCACATACACCAGACTATAAAACATTAAAAACAGGATAATTTGTAACTACATTCCAAAGTCAAAATATTACAGGGTATTACTACAATGTACATAAATGTTCAATAAACACTCAAATAAATACATAAAATTGTTGCAATGATTTTTAAAGTAAAGGTAGAACTGTGGGAAAATGAAAAAAATAATTTGTTTTTAAGTTTTTAACTACAGCTCAGCAGTTGAAAATATCTGGAAAAAATTCACAATTTGTGTCTTGGGAGCAACTTTTAAGACTTTTTTCGAACTTGTTCCATCATTCTAAGACACAGTAAAAATTATGTTTTGTTATTTTTTTTGTGTTTGAATTTGGTGCTAAGATAATATCATAATTTTTTTCTTCTGATAGTTTATAAATTATTTTCTTGCTTTTTGTATTTTCTACTATAAGATAATATAGTGTTAAGTTGATGAAAAAATTAAAATTATAAGAACACATTTTTGGCTTTGGAGATGGGTGGTGGGATAGGGGTTGAGAAACCTTTCAAAAATATTATTTTTATGTTAGAGTTATAATGTAACTACTCTTATGTCATTTGGTTTAGGGAAACGTTTTACCATCTTACTTGGAAAACCCTATAAAAAAAAGACACACAGCAAATGAGCTTTGAGACTTGTGTTGATGCGTGAGGCAGCTCTTTGCTAAACAATGATCCCCCAAGATATTAATGATACAACCACTAATAAAATTAATTATTATATAAATAGTAATGCCAAGAGATTCAGGTAATGAATTTCTGTAAATGGCAGGAGCTTGTGTCCCTCAAACCTCCCCTCCTGGCTTCATGCCTGGCCATTGTATTTATCACATGTGCTTGAAAAATTTATACCAGCAATTACCAATAGGGGAAATATCATTTTTGGTTTATTTTATTGTTTTATTTGGCCAAAACTTTGTTACCATTCTCGTTCACTTTATTTTCAAATCTCATGGCAATGTGAATTTTACCGTAGTTAGAATTACAATTAATTATAAATAGTAATAGTTACTATTATGTAGTATGTAGTAATCAAAAATATTTTTCATCATTGAACTAACCAAAATAATTTTAAGAAATTCTAAAATGATAATATAACGAAGTAATGACTATAACAAGTGGTTAAATTAATTACGTTCTGGGTGAATTATAAATCACACAGAGGAAAATAAAATACCCTTTACATTTTTTTAGAAAAGCTTAGCTTTTTCTTTTCAAGATATTTTTAATGATCATGACAGTAATTGACAAGATTCAGATAATTTATTATCTTTCCTTTCAACCAATAACATTCATTTATATTCGGGCTTCATTTATCAAAATTACCTATACATCCTTGCTGACAAGTGTCAAGAGGTTACCCAATTTGAACCCTACATGTCTATATTGGTTAGATTATAAACTGGAAGTAGAGAAAGTAGGAAGCAATACTTGACTGCAGGAATATGGAGATACATTTGATGGTAATTTTGCTTATATTATTAAATAGCTAAAACCATTAGTTGTCAAAAAGTTAAATAGAAATCATACATTTACCACACGTCTGTATTAATAATATATTATAATTTAAAACTATATCTGGGATTTACACAACTCTCGGAAAAGCATTGCATGATTTAACAATTTTAACAATTGTCGTAAGCGAAATAAAATTTTTTTTTTTTTTCTTTTCAATATTGTTAATCTCTATCCATTATCAAACATTTTAAGTAGCAATATTAAACCGCTTGTGGAACCCATTCCTGGCCGCCAAACCAAACGTACACAACCGATTTTCAAATCATTTAATCGTCGTGCGTTGATATAATAGATCCCCACTTTTTGAAGCTAGACGCGGTTCGACGCGTGTTATCATTCGTTGTTACATTTTATTAATTCATTTTATATTGCATGCGATAAGGTGTTGTCAAGGTCACGGCAAAAATTGATTCGTTTATTTACTACTGTGCTTAAATATATACTTACATAAAATGGTAATTTTTATATAATGATTTAGAATTAAATACTAATGTTGAAGGAGATACTTTTATAGTTTAAAAAGTCGACCAAGTTACGGACATGAGTAACGTTGTGGCAGGTTATTTCCGGTTTGTAGCTGCCAAATATTGGATTCCGGAATAGGCGAGAAAAGGTACTAGGTGCCTATGGAATAGGCACAGTTTAGAGGAAATTATACATGTAAGTTTGAAGTGCATTGACCTATTTTGTGATTGCAAGTTGATGGCTTTTATTTTGTTTACCTATTGAGGAATGTCTGCAATGTGAGTGCCATGTTGCGTTTACGTCTTTTCAACATATGCTAGAAATGTGTTATGGTTTGGAATAATTACTTGTAGGCTTTTTGTTGCGATATTTCCAACGATTTGAATTGAACCACATCCAGTTTCTCTCTCATTTACTGTTTATTTTGATATTTGAAATGGCCTTTATGTTTGGTTATTGTTGATATTGATGACCCATATTTCGCACGCGTTAGTAGATGAATGTTGACACACATTCTCTTTTTACATTTATTAGCAGTTGCGGCGTATTGACAGTCAGTTAGTCATCATTAAGCCATACTATTATGATATTATGGTCTTGAGCGTTTTCGAAACAATTTGTGGATTCTTTGACATTATTGCATTTCCATGTTCTTAATCTTCGGTGTCAGTTGGGTCATTTTTATATTTGCCTCTGTTGTAGGTGTTGCAAAGTAAATATATTCCTATAATGGATTCTCCAAGGAAGAATAATGATTGTTATTTTTACTACTATTCAACATGCTTAAAGGTATGTATTGAGTTGCTACTTATTTTACACTGCTTTTACCTTTTTGTTCACGTTGTTTACAATTTCGAAATGTATTTAATAGGGAGATATGTGTATGTTTCGCCATGAACCTGCTGCTCTGGGCTGTGAAACCGTGTGCACTTTCTGGCAACAAGGAAAATGCCTCAATCAACGCTGCAATTTTCGTCACATGGAATTGAGAGTAAGAACAGAAAGTTACCTATTTTAATGAAATGTGATGGGATAATCAGTTACTTTAGAAATAATAAAACTGGTGTATGTATCTTTTGATGTATTTAATTATTATTTTTAACCTTTTATAGAAAAACCGTAAGATTATTCCATGCTATTGGGAGAACCAGCCAGGTGGCTGCAGAAAAGCCCATTGCCCGTTCCAACATAAAATTCCTAGAGAACCTATTGGACAAGAGCTGGAAAAAAATAAAGAATGTAAGAGCTAATTGAATAAGAAAATAAGTCTTCATAAAATTTGACGTAGATAGTTATTAGAGCTTTTTTATTTTCAGGTGAAAATGTTGGTGCTCCAAAAGTACGAGAAAGGGAAACCTGGACCAGGCAAACAGGTATTCTTTTCTCTAATAATTTTTGTAATGTGAATGGCCATTAACAGTGAGATTGGGTTTGGTTGTTTATTTATGAGTTGGCATTCTTTTATCAGAGTGCTTGAATTTATTTGCTGTTCCAGTGATGCCTGAAGGGGCTCAGTTTGATGAATGTGTTGGGAGCAGTGACAACGACTCTGCACGAGTAGGCCCTCGTCGTGTGAGCCAGGGAAGTGAAACTAGCTACGGAAGCCCTCCTGTGGATCCACTTGTGGTCAACTTTGAAGAAGGTATGCGTCTTTACTAGCCATGTGCAGGTCGCATCCAGCAGCGCCTTGAGGCAGAGGAGTGCCATTCAGTGTCTCAGCAGTTAGTTCACTATCTTCTCTTGTCTTATCTGTAAAGAAGAATTACTGGAGCTTTCTGCGGTGTATCAATGTTTTTCACAAGTTTGGAATGGGATTCATTGGTAAAAGAGTCGGGAAGAAGTTTGATCATACAAAAGAATAAATGTAACCATATAATGTTTCAGGAGCTTCTGGACATTGTCATAAATGGTCTTTATTGATATTTTACACAATGTCGACTTTTGTGTAATTGCCCTTGTTTGCTGGGTTGAAGTTTAATCTACGTAGCTGGAAACAGTTTTATTGTGTTTATCCATAATTATTCATTTAGTTCTTGATTTGTAAAAGTTTGCCTTAATGTACTTTATTTGTTGTTTTTTTTAATTGCAAAACGTGAGGTGATGCATTTCACTTATAAGAAAGTATATTCCAGTGATTTGAATATTCAATTTCCGGTATATCTTGTTGAAAGACAATGTGAACGTTCTGAACTAGAGGAAAACTAATGTTTACGAATGGCATTCCTAAATATCACAGAATGTTCACTGTGATGCCAACAATAAGTAGTTTCCAGTACATTTGAGTGGCACTCTAGTAAGCATATGTCATGAATGCTTTGGTTCTTCATACTATATGTAGTTCTGTGTTTGGTGAAATTAAATGTTTTAAACCTTGAAAGATAATGCAGGTATGAATCCTTCACTTCATTTGTTGGCATAACACAAAGCATTCTGACTTCCACCTGGATGGATTCTGAATTTTCATATTTTTGAAGTCGTTGAAAGGCATCTTCAGCCTTTATTCATGTTAATGTACACATATGTGTGTATAATTTTGTTCCACATAATTCAGTTGATATGCTATAAGATAACTCAGATCCTTTTGTGATAAAGATTACACATACATGTTAACATCACAATTAGAGTACTTGAAGTTGTCATGACTTATATACAGTACGTATAATCTCATATCTTGTCTGTTGTGGCTAATAATTATGTTGCATAGTAGAAATCAGTATATAATTCATTTTTATAGTGTTTAGAATCATGCAAATAAGGCTGATAAAATTATGTTTGCTGGGTTGTTAATTTAATTCAAGTATTGGTGGTATTAGTGTGCTTTTTACATAAAATTTTATATTAAGGTTTTGTCTTACCAGGGTGAGTTTTGCTGCAATATTCTCAGATGATTTTATTTTACATAACAGAAGTATTATGAGTTTTGTTCATGCTCTTGTTGTATCTTGTATATTCACTTGTTGGGATGAAGTATCTTTGTTTTTCATCTATAAATATATAAATATATATATAATTTATTTTTTAGAAGTAATGTATGATTAAATCTTGCTAATCAAAATAGTATGTGTGAATAACCACCAAGTGGAGTGACTTGTCGTAAGGTAATTTGTGGAACAGTAGCACATTCAGTCCATTGAATCAGTGTGTTAGAGGGAAGTAAAAGTGATGTTTAGAGAAAGTTAATTTGTTCTTGTAGAGTTCTTCCTTTACCATTATATATGTTCATTTGGTTATTTTCACATAATCTTCCAGCAAAGGGCATCGGGGGTTGTTTTCCTCATGAGCCTTTGCATATATAATTTTATGTTGTTTTTAACTTTTAAGTAGAAGGCACCATCTCTTTTGATAGCATTATATATATAAACATATATACGGCAGCGTTCATGTTTAATTGGTTTGTACAATGAAGAACAATGAAACATATTGTTTTACTCATACTTACTAGTTCTTCCATGATCTGCCAAACTTTGTACATATACTCTATATGCCATTTGCATGGGGACTTAGCACATTGTGACGAGACATTTGGTCCTACATATTTGTTCTTGGTTTGACTAGCAATCAGAGAGGTCTTTATCATTTGCTTTTACTAATAACCTTTGTCTGCCTTGATTGGAGAGAGTCCCCTGCAAATTTCTGGCAAACATTAACGTCTGAAAGAAGGTGTTTTGTATGTTAAATTTATATTGCTGTGCATTTTATGATCCAATCAAGGTGGAAAAAAGGTTTTGGGAACAAGTGTAGAGATCGATTATTTTGGTGGATGTAAATTACCACCTTGTTGTTATTGGTTTCTATTCAGTGAGTTGTAATTTGAAAATACAGACATCCTATATTTATTAAAACTTTCAACTTGGTTTATTGTTTTATTGAAGGGAGGTTGCAAGAGTATTTTTGAGATATATTATTTATATTTTCTTTTATACATTATTTATGCGTTTCATTTTGAACGAATGGTCTGTACACTTCTAATGCAGAAGTAAAGCATTTAAAACAAACTGACAAATAAACAAATTTACCTCACAAAAATGTCTGCTAATTGCTGATCTGCAAGAATGCACATTAAGAATATAGAAATTTTTTCCTTGAAATATTTGCAAAAGTGAAAGATAATTTTATCAAGTAACACATTAAGGAAAACAAGAGTCCAACTTTGGATCTTTTGTTTATGTTTTGACTAATGTTTTCTTTACGCGTGTTCTTGCAGAGTCAGACAATGAAAGTGTCCCTACTTCGACTCCCACTAAGAAGCCTCAGAAGAATGTTCATGTTAAAACATTGGAGGAGATAAGACTAGAACGAATCCAGGCAGAGTCGGCTGCTTTCTACAGCTACAAGGAAAGCGGTCCCTCATCAGGTGTAAGTGACCTGCGTTCCAGACTTGCTCCACGTAAGCCTTACTCTAAATCTAGTCAGGACTTTCGTATTCTTACCTTGGATGAGATCCGAAAGAGGAAAGTTGCAGAAGCAAATAGCGATGTCAATGGCGACGAATGTCTCGAGCCAGTGGAAAAAAGATCACGAAATTGTATTTTAGACTCCAATTATAATGTTGACGATGGTGTGAAGTGTGTGACAAGTGATTCAACTAATCTTACAGTAAATAATGTTTCTGAAGAGTCTCTTGCAGATGTAAGTGCCAAGTGTATTGGAGATTCTAAAGAACAGACGCGTAAGAGAGCACATTCACCTATTACTTTTAATGAACAATCAAAAAAACCAAGTGTCTTAGTTAGTGAAGATCATAGATCTGTGATAAATAAAGAGAATGATATAATCGAAGTAACTGATGAAAAAGTACCAGGAAAGGAATTGCCTTTGACTTTAAAGAAATTTCGTAAACCTCTTCGGAGAGGGCTAAATAATGAAGTGAGTGCAAAGGATCCAACAACACGAGTGATCCGTTTGAGAAGAAAAAATATTGTGGAAAAATTCAGTGGAAGAAAAAATATAGTGAATGCAGATTTGACTTGTGTGAACAATGAAGTGTCTTCTAAAGTGCCTCCCTATTCTTCTGTGGCGAATGAAAATGCCAATAACAATATTAGTGCTTCCAATGCAGAGATATTAAGAACAAGTGCAAGAATAAGTGAACAAAATAATGGAGGTTCAAGTCCACATACAAATAGTCTTCAGGACTCTTTAAGTAGTACAAAAGTAGAAATAGATACAAGACAACAAGCCCTGGAAGAAAATTTGGAATCCAAAGGTGCAGTAAGTTTCCAAAACTCTGTATGTGATAAAGCTGTAAAGGACAAGTGGTCATCTTGCCATCGGGATGATGAACTTTTCTTAGATAACAATGAATATCCTGTAGTGTTACGAGCCGATGAGGATATTCTTCAAGATATTGATGAATTATTAAAAGATTAGTGTGCATAAATTCATTATCATCTCAGTTTCTTTCTTAATTAGTGTTAACACAAGACTGATCATTTGGCTATTTCATGAATTCTGAACACAATTCCCTCTGTGTTAATTGACCTTTTATCTTTACTGTACTTTTGTCATGAATATTTCTTCACTTTCAAGAACAGTTATACTTAGGCATTTCTATAAGTGCTTTGAAAATATCAAAACAGCTACACGGTATTTAGTTGAGATATGGAAATGGTCACTTGCAGTGAATAAAGGTTTTATTTTGTTAACATTCAGTCACAGAACATATGTACAGTTTATTTTTATTTTTCTTGTTATGTTTTAATTTTTAGCAAGATATACCTCTGAATACTTACATGTATATAAAGGACTTTTATTGCCATAGTCATGAAGTGATAGAAGTAGGAAATAAGTCATTGACTTTCTTTTAACATGCAGAATCTACTAAGAACAGTAAATATAGTACAGAAGCCTGAAATAGAGACTTATTTCATGCAGTAGGCAAGCAAATAATGCAAAAGTAGATTGTATTATTTACTAAAGTATATTGCAAGCATTCAACTCATTCTGTTTTGTTATGTTTTTGTACAAAGGTTTCTGAATATTTTGTAAATAGCTCTTTGATCATGGATCAAAAAGTAGAAGTGATGTACAAATGCCATACAGTCAGTTTGTAGGCAAACGTATACGACAATTATGCAAGTTGACAATTGACGACTAACAATATTTACTGTGCATTATGTATATAGATATCTCAGGGCTTCTGAAATTAGAAATTGCATAGTACCCTTCTTGAAGAAGAGTATATTTCTTACATTTGTACCATTCTCTTACTGAGCATTGTTACATTTGCTCCTCACATATCGCAATTTTATGACTACTTAAATCCTTGTTGCACGCCCTCGGGCAGGTCTTAGCACAAGCAAGGAAATTCGCTGAAGTAAATGAGAGTTTACTGTCCAGCGCAGTTCTGAGCTTTCACTCATTCATAATGTGCATGAGTATTGTATTTTGATGACTTGTATTTTGTTATTAAATTACATATATTAAATAAACTACTGACATCTCAGTGAAAGGAAATTTTGTTTGAAGTCGGATAACCTGTTACATTTCCAGGATGTGTGAAACTGGAGTGCATTGAGCAAAATGGAAATCAGATTTGTTGTGGATCTTTCATTGATTTTTCTTTCATAGGACTGACGATTTGGTATTCTTATACTTTAGGTAGGGGTGAATTTTTGACAAATACATATTTTCAAGTGTTCGAGAAACAAAGGTTTGTTTTATGCAGAAGTAAATTTATCCTAGTTATAGGGTTCATTGCTATTGCTCATTAAGATTCCTTATGTCATAGTTTTGCATTTTTAAGTTGAAACTTGTGACAATTTTATTATTCACTTCAAAATTGAGAGATTATTGAAGAACTGATAATTGTTACTTCATTCTTCATTTTAGTTATTTTCTGTTTTAAAGTGAAATTAATAGGATTCTAAGAATTCTGGTGGGTTTTATACGGCTCAATTTGATTGCTTTAAATTTGTCTCTTTTCACGTAAAGAATAGTTTTTTTAATTACTAGGGTGAGCTGAAGGCAACATATTTTGTTTTTAAAATCTGGGTCATTTCACCTCTAATTTTACATATAAAAAATTAATTTATTGTTGAAAAAGCATTTAAGAACTGTATGTGATTTGTAAGGGAGAAATACAGGCTGTGCATATTTGACAAATACACTTGTACCTTTGAATTTCAGTAATTAAGGACTTGGCAAAAAAAACACCATACAGATAATTAGAACCCATTTAATGTCATTTCAAGGTCATTAGGGGCATTTGTTCCCTTTTTAAAATAACATTATCTTAAATTCAACATTGCAGATAAGTGAATTTTTTACTCACAGGGATATCTTACTTTACCAATTTCAAAACTCAATGGCTTAAAAAAAAAGTTTTCTTCAATTCAAAATACCACATTTTTCATTTTCAATTTTGACCTAAACACAGAATGTGTTATCAATTTTTAGAAGTATAATATAACAAATTATATTGTGAATGTTATAAAATGGCTTAAAAAGTTTCATGTTTTTAGGATTCCTGAGAACAGTTTGAAAAGCCAAAAAAGAGTTAAGAAGGAAAACCTATTTTTTATGGAATTCCCTGGATTATAAGTGCTTGTAGATTTCCTAAGTTTTACACACAGGAAATCAGTTTTGTAGTGATTAGTATTTAATGTTGGCAGATTTCTACCAGAATCATGTGGAAATCTAAATGTTATTTCCTTTTGTGAATTGAACATGAAAATAAGTAAGAAAAATAAAATTAGACAAAAAGAAAGAAAGTGTCCTTTTAAACAAAAAAAATCCTTGTAAAATTAGTTTATTACTTATTTGCTGCGTTTTGTAGCAAGATGTATTTAAATCTATCTATAGCATTCCTTCCAAAATTTTGAAAGTGTAAGGTAAGGTTTCTTATTTGCCAAGATCATAATTATGGACAGATGATACACTAAACAGAAAAAATCCTGTTATTAATAAAAATAAAAATGTTCTTGAAGAAGCCTTTCTTTGGAAGTGATGTGTAATAAGTAAGAGGGCTAATCACAAAATACATTTCATGATCACGTTTAAGTAGTTTGTTTGTCAGTGTTAGAAATCTCTCTGTTGATCAACCTTCAGTAATATTGATTATAATGGTACTTAAATCTAGTAATTTTCAGGCTCTTGGAGGATTTGAAAGATAATATTAGGAGAAAGATCAAAAGATGAAATGAAGGCTATTTGTTTGACCTAATAAGAACTTGCCTTAGATGTAAGTCAAAGCAAATGACTTATCCAGCTGAAATAATGAATTTAATGTGATTTCATTTTTGGAGGAAAAATATTGAATTCAAAATGCAGGATATCCACTGTTTCTTTATTAAATTTTGAAATACATTCTTTGCCAGTGCAAAACTTGTATTGTATTATGGTTACTTTGCTTATGTGGAGAATGTTAAAAGGTGGGTTAGTTTTCACTTTTCCCTCAAATTTGACAAAGATATTTTAATTTTTCGTAATTCTTTACATCACGCCTCAAGGATGTTTTTAAACATTTTGATTATAACATTCTGATAAGTAGCCTAATATTTTGATTTTTTCACTGATTTAGTAAGCATGCTTATAAAATTGCACAACTATGAATTTTCAAAAATTGGTGATATAAAAAAAAAATGTTTGATTCTTCCTACAAATTTGATGATGTTATAAAAATAATTGCTTACTATCTTTGTAATAATTAATGCATCACTACTTTCTATTTATGTTCATTATTTATTCACAACCAAAGACATTTATTCATAATCATGGAAGTATATAGTCATACTTCATGTTTCAAATTGTATCTGTTCTGTATTGCAGAATACTACTACTTTTTTTTTCTTTCTTTTTCCTTCTCTAACATAGTAAAAAGTTAGTTTTATTTTTGCCATTTGGGGTATTTTTGCACCAATCTACAACAGCTTTGCTATCTATTTGAATTACAACTAGTTTTATAATCAACTGATTGTTCCATTTTTTTTATTATTGAGTTATCTAATTGCATTCAAATATTGAATGGCTTAATGTAACTAATTCTCATTCCATTATTGATAATGTTACTATCTTTTGCTTCTTACTTTCTCATTATATGAAATTATTGCCACTTTTAATTACGCGATCGCCGAAAGATCTTCTGTTGTTCAGCAATTGTAAGTATGTAAAATTCCCATTCTAATGGGCTGTCTGTCCATCTACAAATTTTACAGTGTAGTTTCTAAATGTTGCCATTGAGTATAACAAACTAAACATGTTTACCTTTTTCAATTTTGATACACATGCTGAAAACCTGGCATTATACATTTTCTTCCTTCTATTTTTAAACTGAATATCCATTTTCCTTTAATGATATCTTTTGTTTGGCTTATCTACTATTTCCCACCCATACTTTAAAGATAATAGTTCTTTATTAATTGGTTCAACCCATTCTTCTTTATCTTTGGATCCATTTACTCTAAAATTTCTTGAAATAATTTCTTTATTAGTACATGTTTGGTATTTTTCAAGTTATTTTCTTTTTCTAAACGATGTTAAATTTAAAGTCTTAAATTTACATTTATGGTAGGTCTTGTGATTTCTCTTAAAATGTATTGAAATGTTATGTCATTTTTGACTATCTTGATCATCTTGATTATTAATGCTGAATTCTTCTGAACTTCAATATTCTTATCTTCTTTAATAAAGTTTGTTGTCCAATAATCATTATCATAATCAGAGCCCCATGATACGAGTTTTTCTAACTTTTCTGCTGAAGAAAACCGCCAATATTTGTTGCATTACAAAATTTCTCCTTACTATGTAAATACGTTGGATGGCGACAAAGTAAACTACATGTGCTACAACAGCACATTATTTCCCATAGTATTGGAACAGTTACATAATAGTGTACTAATATTGCAATTTTTGCCATACAAGACATCAGCTGTAATTTGCAGTCCAATTCAAACGGAGTGCCTATGGTAAGGTGACCAGACCGGTCTCCAGTATTGGCCGGAGCAGTCCCTTATTTTGAGCTCCTTACCCGTATTGTTTTTTTTTTTACATGGAAACGGGATGCTAAAATGTCCCTTTTTGTGTCAGTGAATTGACTTGTATACAAGAAAAAAATCTTATTCTAGTTTCAATAAAATCTGCCCAAATCAAGATTCAAATCCCTCTAATAAATATTACCAATTGCTCTAATTTCAAAATTATTTTTCCAAAATGTAAAACTAGACTATTTAGGTTTGTAATACTGATTTTTTTAAATTGTTTGTAGTTAATGTTATGAAATCTTTAATTAATGAAGTAAATAGTACATTGAATGTAGCAATATATCGTTCCAATAGCACCAAATTAAAATGTGATTTCATAGCGCCCCGACCCTGGCGTTTGTACTAACATTTTCTTTAATATCCACAGGTAGATTTATACGCGGTGAAGGGTTTCTTCAGTTTTACAACCTCTAATATCTCGATATACGATAGTTAAATTGGTAGTCAAGCCGATGAAGTTGTCTGGCGTGTTGGGCTGGCTGCATCTCTGGTACGATACCACGAAGTGACTAGTTCAATAAAACGCACAAGTGATATTACAATGTTTAATTTGCAGAAGAAATATGCAATGGCCGAAAGATGTGAACTCTGTGCTGGCGAGCTGTCTTACGCTGCTCGGCAGTCGTATTCTATAAATTATGTAGATCCAATCACGTGTTTACATATTCTGGAAGTTTCCAAGAAGTTCTTATAAAATAATATTCCTCAATACTCTCTCAAAGGCTTTCAGGAATAACACGTTGAATTATTAGGATAATAAATTCGAGTGGAAATAACATTTTAATGGACATTTTAGGTTTGTGTGTTTTGGAGTTACGGAGCAGTATTTGGAATTAGGAAACGGAACAAAATATAGATAGGGTAACTTATAGAGGATGTAATTTTGGAGTTATCAATCGGTTGGGCGCTGCGGCGGCGTTGTGCGTAGCGCTAGGCGGGTGCAGAGGTCGTGGAGGACAGAGCGTGTTGGCCTCATCGTCAGGGTTACCCAACTCCATAACGACGGTTAAAAGACATCTCTGCTAAACCCTGTGTAATGTACTCATTGTCAACAGATCCACTCCCGGAATATTGCTGTGACATTTTTTCAAACAATATGTGACCAAATTGACAATAGTATATTTCGATACTAAGATGTACATAACATGTCCTTTCTTTTTTCTGTAGGCTGAAATTCAGTTTGTGATACTATTCGTTCACGCGCGAGTTTACATCGAAGAAACGGTTGTGGGGCAATCATTGGAATATTTTTAGATCTTTCGAAAGCTTTTGATGTTATTGACCATAACATCTTGCTATCAAAATTACCTTCTTATGGAATTCGTGGTAACGCCCTAGATTTGATAAATTCGTACGTTAAACATAGATCTCAAAGTATAAATACCGTACTGGCACGAAAGGACATTATTTAATTATCTCTGCAATTCTTTACGAATTGAATATGGGGTTCCACAAGGCTCGATCTTAGGTCATATCCTCTTTCTGTTATTCGTAAACGATATGCCGTCGTCTATTAAAAACGGAAGAAGGGTTCTGTTTGCCGATGACGCGAATGTACTTGGCAAAAAAGAAACAATAAATAGTACGATTTTAGAAGTTTCAAATTGGTTTCGTACTAACAAGTTAATAGATAATGAAGGAAAAGCAGTTTCAGTGCATTTTTGCATTTCAAAACAGCAATCGCATGCTTCATTGAAAATGAAAAATTTGCAATTTGCTGATGTTCAGGTAACAACATTTCTAGGTCTCAATTCAGTCAAACCTCAAATGGAATGCACTTACAACAAAATTAAACACTAAATTAAGTTCATTAGTTACGCATTCAGAATTCTATCAAATTCTGTCAGCCTTCATGCAACTTGTTGCGTGTATTTTGCAAATGTACATTCCTGCCTTAGATATGGTATAAAATTCTGGGGAAACTCATCATGTAGTACTCAGACCTTTAGATTGCAAAAAAAATTATTCTAATAATGATAAAATGCCATCCGCGATACTATTGCAAGCCTCTCTTTATTCAGCTTGGAATCTTACTACTGCCTTGCCTATATATTTACGAATCTGTAATATTTGTCAAAAGTGACTTACTTAACGGCGGGAACTTACTTTCATGCAATACTCATATTTATAATTACAACACTCGTAAAAATCACGTTCATCAAGTGTAAGTATCAACAGCTTACTATCAGAAATCCACATATAATACATGTTCGTTACTTTACAACGC